TGTGTGTGTGTGTGTGTGTGTGTGTGTGTGTGTGTGTGTGTGTGTGTGTGTTTGTGTTTGTTTGTACTGAAAAGTGAATTGACAATGCGTAAGACGGAAACCTGTCTGAGAAGTCCTATTTTCTCCTCACAAAGGATGGTCTCCTTAAACAGCTTCTACTTTAAAAGTAGATTATGACTCCAGAGGGCCTTATTTCAAAAGAAAGCTCAAGACTAAAGTAATCGTGGGCTTTTGAGGATACGTCTGACTAACCTGAGGCTTTGTAAAAAGGTTTTAAAAAATCCATTCCATCTCAACTGTCGTTTCTTTCATTCTCCTTCCCTTCCTCCCTCTCTCTTTCCCCCCTTCTCTCTCTCTCTCTCTCTCTCTCTCGCTCTCTCTCTCTCTCTCTTTCTCTCTCTCTCCCTCCCCCCTCTCTCTCTCCCTCTCTCTCTTTGTTTTTCACCCACTGACTTACTCTGTCTATCTTACGGCTCTTTCTGTCTATCTCTTTTCCTTTCTTTCTTTTACTTAATCCCACCTTCCTTCTTATTTATTTTTTGGACACCAAATTCCATCCCCTCGGTTTCTATCTCTTACTTTCTTCCTCCTTTCATTTCTCTACCTCTCCCCGCCCCCTCCTCCCACCTCTCTCTCTCTCTAAAATGCACGCACACGAGCGTTTCTGTGAATGGTTGTGTATGTGCGCGGTATGTAAGCATGTGTTTGTGTTTCTAAATGTGAAAGAGGGAGATTGGCAGATAGATAGATATTAGATGATGAACACGATAGTAATAATAATAATAATAAAACATAATTTAATAACATTAATAATAACCGCAATAATGATAATAATAATAGATCTAATACTAACAATAATAATAATAATAAGGTGAAAGCCCACCTTTTAAATTAATGATCCAGATTGTTGCGATGGAGCCGTGAAAAAAATACGTAATAGAAAAGAGCTCATTAAATACCAACATTTCCAGTAGGATGGCTGAAATACAACGTGTATATTATACTTTAGCCGAGGTCCCCGAAATAGTAATGTATTATCTAATAATAATTAGTAATAGATTGCATTTATATAGCGCTCTATCCCAATGGGCCTACTAGTATAAGCTCTGAGCGTTTTACACCAATCACACCATCATTCACACAGGAAAAAATATTTCACAGAAACAAGAAAAACCAGTTCAACCACATAAAAAGAACTTTCACAACCATACATGAACTGTTCTACACGAAAAGACATTATATATATATATATATGTCTATCTATCTATCTATCTATCTATCTATCTATCTATCTATCTATCTATCTATCTCCCTCTATATATATACATACATGTATATACAAAAACATAACTTACTAACACACTATAACTTATCTGCGTTTAAAGTAATACAAGATAAACTCTATTGATCCAGAGGGGAATTTGGATGGATATAGCTAGCTGAACCTCAACATTCAGATGTCTCTATATTAACGCAGAAATTATGCACTATTCAATGATACACAGGCAAAGATACACAGTTCCGTCACACTTGTGCATTCAAACTCTCTCTCTCTCTCTCTCTCTCTCTCTCTCTCTCTCTCTCTCTCTCTCTCTCTCTCTCTCTCTCTCTCCCTCTCTCTCTCCCCCCTCTCTTCTCCTGCTCTCTCTCTCTCTCTCTGATCTCTCTTTCTCTCTCTCACTCTTTGATCTCTTTCTCTCTCTCTCTTCGATCTCTTTCTCTCTCTCTCTCTCTTTCTTTCTTTCTCTCTTGCACCCCCCCCAAACACAGTCTCTCTCTCTCCTCCTGTCTCTCTATTTCTCACACACACACAAACACACACATATAGACAGAGACATACACTCAGAGTAGAGCAAGTTCTGTATTTCTTCCCAAATACTTGTTTTCAAACCAAACGATATTGCCAAGAGAAGAAAAGAAAACTGCTCCTCCCATTATCTCTCTACTTCTTTATCTAAGCCCTAACCCGAATTATTTTCGTATATCACACGTATTTGTATACCTTGACGTTTACGGCTTTCCATAGAAACACACGTGGGAGCGCATGTGACGTCAGGCGCTGGCGCTCAGAACTCACGGCAAGTTATAAAACCGCCGGTGGGCGGAGTCTGCTCACAAGACACGGGACCAAACAAGCCAAGCTAGCTCGTCAGAAAGCAAAGACGACCAAAAGTAATAATTTAAAAGAAAAAACAGATTCAGAAAGCTTCAAAGTTGTTCACTCATCCATCTACCCGAGCTAAGCAGTTGTGCAGTTCAAGTTTTTAGAAACCCACCAATCGGAACTCGTTATAAGTATACAGATTTTGAAAAACTATCTCGTCTCTGCTTGAGAAACGAAACAACGGTCCGTGTTTCCGCCTGTCTATCTTTGTTGTAATAATACTAGTTACTTCGCCTAACAGCAACGTCATGATTTCCAAGAGTCTGATGGTCAGTATGTCCGTCTACGTGTTAGTGGCTCTCCTGGCGGCCATGCATGGGTCAACTCCCGCCTCCGCTATGCCCCTGGAGGACGACAACACAGACATCGACGACAAGGTGAGTATAACAATAGGCTACTTATTGTGAGCCATTGCAAAGATCTTACTTACAAGATTGGTCACTCAGCCAAAAACAAAGTGTCCGCGAAAGTCCGCGCATTGCTTTAGATGGCGCTGCAGTCTTTGTTTTAAAGATCTGTCTAAAACAGCGCCTCGACATGTATGGTTGGTGCCTCTATAAATAAATTAATGATGGTCATGGTTTTGAAGCTGACTTTCGTTTCTCTAGAAGAAGAATAGGAATAGCGCAGTTTGTTAATTTCGCTATTGTAGTTTTTCACACAAGTAGGGTAACTTTGTTCACAAAGTCCGCGCTTTTTTAAAGAGGGCTCCACCGAATTTTGAGCACATTTTTAAAATTGGCTATAGAGAGGAGTGAACTATCTTGTATTCACGATCTTTGATATCGTGGGGAAATCAGGCGCTCATCAAAATAATGAAATCGGAGAAACCCATGTTTTTCTGCCCGCCCGTTGAGCATTCTCTCTCTCTCTCTCTCTCTCTCTCTCTCTCTCTCTCTCTCTCTTCAGCGTTTTTTTTTGGGGGGGGGGAGGGTGTCTAACACATTATAAGTCGATTTAAATACACGTTTCTGTATGGAGTTTACTGAAAAGCTTTGATCCAAGGCATCCACGTCTAAATTTGCAGTTTCCAAGGACACTAAATAAAGCTTTGACAGTCACCAAACTTTAGCGTCTGTTTTTTCGCTAATTTAACCTCTGACACCAGACGACCCACCACTTTTCCAGTTGGAAATACCTCGACCTCTATTCAAGATAAATGGATATTTAAAAAAAAGACAAATAAACAAGATTTACTATTATTCAAAAACTCCATTATATGCCCTAAAATTGATGGGCGCCTGATTTTTTGTGCAAGCGTTTGATGGTTTGTCACGAAAATGTTAGTGAGGGCGGTTGAAATGAATGACTCCCTGGGTAGCCTCTACTTCCTTTTATCTTGGTCTGTCTGTCTGTCTGTCTATCTGTCTGTCTATCTGTCTGTCTGCCTGCCTGTCTTTTTGCTTTCTGTCTGTCTGTCTGTCTGTCTGTCTGTCTGTCT